ATATATATTGGTTCACATAATGCACCTTCAAATTATTTTTTTCAATGATTTAGATGTAAACCTTGTGTTCTTACCTTGACCTTCCACCAATATCTATACTATATTATAAATCATTTGATAAAAATTCTTAAAAATCATTTTTTATGTATAAAGTACTGTTTATTAATGCATGTTACTTAAAACTCAAGATTACTAGTAGATTGTGCGTAAGTACAAGTTATTAAAACTCCAACTCTGAATTCGTGTAGCTAATTGTAGATAAACATAATCAAATACAAGATAAACATTTCATTTTAAATATAAAAAATCTAAAATATAATTAGGATAACCACATTAGTTTTAACTGAATACTTAATTATTATCTTTATAAAATGTTATATTATTAAACCATAATTAAATTACTTCATTATTCAACTTAAATTAAATTATAATAAAAAAATAAATTAAACAAAGTACATAAAAAATGAGAACTAAATTTAAATAGTTGATTTGATATGATATATTTTTTTCAAAATTTTATAATATCTTCAAGTTTATATTTTATTCAAAAATAAAATCATTATTGTTTTTTTAAAAAATAAAAACACATAAAATCGTATTATAACATCGACAGAGACAAAGAATAAAATAGAACATTATAATCGAGATGTGTCTCGCTGCATTGCGCGAGTACTCTTCTAATATATATACATGGTTGTGTTCCGGGGTTCCGGTGAGAATGAAAGTTATATGAGAAGACCACAAAGGGCCTTTGGCCTAGCGGTATCGTAGCCTTTGGCCTTCTAGGAGGTCAGGGGTTCAAACCTTACCATAGGTGAGGAGAGTGTGTGAGTTTATTTGTTGCATTTGCCGTATATAAATATTATATACTTCAAAAAAAAGTTATGTGAGAAGAGTAAGAATGAATTTCCATATTTGGATCAATCTAATTGAAGATCAACACTAATGTGGTGTACCGATATGCACCGGATTAATTCTGGTGATAAGTATAATTCATGGGGTTGGGATGAGATTAAAGTGATCTAAGGGTCCTTATTCATTCTCACCTTAACTCATATTCTCACACGATCCCATATCTATATTTATATCAAGGGACGTCCCAATCTTTTCAGAAACCCTGTTACATCTAAATTTATTGATGACATTGCATAAGAGATAACAACATACATATATGTTAAGCACAAAAGGACGCTAATCTTAAACGATTAACAATCTGAATCTAACTTAAGTCTAAACCATTAATAATTTATATCTAAACCTAAATAATTAACAAACCATTTGGGCTATAGTTTTACACAGATTGATGAAAATGTCCGAAACATATATAAAATTAGGCCTCAAAATTTTGGAGGCCCTGTTCAAATCTCATATTTAACATGCTAAATGACGACAATTTTTTATAATGTAATTTATCTATATATAATTTCCTTGGATTTCACTTTTGCTTGCCTTTTTCTAATTACTTTTATTCCAATTTATTCATCGAAAATAACACTTAACTTTGAATTCTGTATCCTCACGAATTGAAAAGAAAATTAAAAACAATAAGGTGCATGGAATAAGATTCCCAACATTGGTGCTTTCATTTATCAGTTTTTAATTACTTTTATTTTTTCGATCTTTATATTAATACCCCTAATTATATTTTTATTTAAAAAATCAATTTACAATTTGTAATAACATAAAAATAAAATAAAATAAGTAATAAAATATATAATATTTTTATCATTTTAAAGGTATCAACCTTTTTTATAATGTAATTTATCTATACTATACTATAAAATACTTTTAAAAACTAATTTTTATGCATGAATTATAAGTGTTTATTGATGCATATTATTTAAAATTCAAGATTACAAATGATTTTGTGTAAGTACAACTTATTAAACCTTTATTTTTAAATTCGTGTAATTAACTGCAGATAAATATTTATTTTAAATATAGAAAATCTAAAATATAATTAAGATAATCATTGAGTTTCTAACCGAATGTTTAGTTATTATCTTTAATAAAAATTATATTATTAAACCAAAAATAAATTACTTAGTAATTTTTAGACCTAAATTAAATATGCATACTTCATCCGGAGAAGTCCTTCCTTCTCTTTAAGATTAAGACCAAGGTCTTATTTCATTCCCCATGAGGAAAAGGTTTCTTCCTTTGTTTCGGTTGATCTCCTATGCAAAGTATGCTCGAGTTGCAACCGGGGGAACTCATCACGTAGCGTGGATTGCAAGTCGCACCAAAATCAAAGACTCTCCCCTTCTTCAACCCTCCCTCATGTAGCGTGGATATCTAACCCGCTATGCGAGCCGACTAATCCCAAGAAGACCACCTGCTAGCCCAGAGTCACCAAATTTGAACTTGTGACCTCCTGGTACTTTTGACATTTGGAGCCACGCTCAAACCAATCAAACACCACCCTTATAGTTAAATATACATACTTATTGGTGTTATTCACCATAAAATAGTTGGTTGCACATTTTCTCAAAGAATTTATAGTTATCATTTGAGTCCATATATATCTATACTATATTATAAAGCATTTGGCTAAAACTCTTAAAAACTCTTAAACTCTTAAAACTCTTAAACCCGTTCATCCCTAAACAATTTCATCCCTATCTGATTTCATCCCATAACTGAATTCGTGTAACTAACTGCAAATAAACACAATCAAATACAGGATAAACATATCATTTTAAATATA